AATTGAATATAATATTCATAGGAATGTTTTATTTGATTGTAATCACTTTAAAAGAGGAATTATTGCATTTTTGTATGTTAGCCATTTTTATCTACAGATAAATCTGTGGAGGTTTCTCCCTCGTGGTTGGAAAGGGAGGGTGAAACGAGTGGGTTGCAATCTGCAATTACACCGCTAGATGTTACTAAATCCTACACACTGGACGATTAATGGGAACATGGAGGCGACATTGCACAGAGAGCAGCATGAGTAATGGCCTCTGGGCCTCTGACAGGTTAATGCAGCCAGGGTAAGGGCCTCTTGTGGCTGGGTGAATAATAACTCTTGTGTGTTAGGAGAAAAGTAACCTGATGAAATCTAAGTAAGTGTTGGTTTCATAATTGTTGCCACCTTAAACGTACCATCTGGAGTTACAGTAATGTTTTCATCCAGTGTTTCTGACCAAAACATATTGTGTTCATCTTTGAGATCAAATAGGGACACTGAATACATTTCCTTCCTCCTTGGTTTTACATTTTCTGTCAAATATTTTCAGATCACTGTTTACATCTATGTTATGCTAACAAGCACGCTTCTCTCTTGACTTTGCTGCTGCATTGCTACATTTCTTGGCACCACCTGTCAACAGAGGAGTAGCAGAGAACTTTGGCTGGATTTTATAATCACTTGTGTATATATGGGAAACAAATTAAACCGGGACCCACTCATCGAAACATCATAGCACCACTAATGGACAAAAACACCACAAGTTACCTTTAATTAAGTAGTTTTTTGTGGCAAAACCTGTCCAGACTTTATCCATACAGACAGCAGATGACAAAAAAGTGCTTTGGAAAGCACTGACAAACAACCTGTTCAGATCAAGTCTTGTTTGAATCTCTGTCATTATGTTAAAGCTTCAAAAAAGTTTGAATCCCATATTTTAATTTAACTTAATCACAGTCACGTTTAAAGATTTACAGAATATCAAAATAGTCCTTAAAAAAACAACCATGTGTATTTAATCTGCAATTGTATAATGTAAACTCCTCCTCACATCCTTAAAATCCCCAAATTCCTATAAACAATACTGAGGACATGAACTTGGTGTCCTCAGCGGTGGCTACGGGCCTGTGTAGGCTCACTCAGCGTTCCCCAGGGTAAAGCAAAAAAAAAACCAAAAACAAACAAATGGCGACTGACTTCCATGCTAGTTATGTGTTCCACCAGTTTCATGTCAATAGCCTTTACATTGATATGTTTCAGACCTGCTGTACACTCTGATAAGGGTTTTGTTGTTTATCTGAGGTTTTTGTTGAAATCTCGACTACAGGAGAAAGAGAGAAAAAGGAGCTCAACCACAAACAGTTCAGTTTGGGAGCCATGGCTCTTGTATCTTATTCATTAGAGCACTAACAAGCCTTTTAAAGAAAACTGTAGGACGTGGGCAAAAATCTCCCCCCTAACGTGAGTAAGTGCACTGTGCAACAATAAGCAGCTGAAATCTGCTTTAAGTGAAATGAAAGACGGGAGGTGGAGGGCTCAGGGAGGTGTGTACTGTTTGTTCTGTGATCCAGACCCATCAGTCACTGTGTTTCTGCAGTCTGGAGCACATTCCATGAATCCTGCTGGGTTTTGTTCCCCTTAACCTACAACAACGACACGGTTTGAGTCCTGCAGAGCTGAGTGAGGCAGGCTCGTTCAAACACAACAAAAACAAAGATTGTGATTTTACTCCAAAAACCTTTTTGCTTTAATTTTTATTATTATTATTATTCTGTATTTTATGGATCTAAAGTGAATTAGAGTAGAGATTTGATGTAGGATTTTGTAAGGTTGATTGAAAACATTCAATAATATTTGCTTATACAGTTGATATTTTCTACTAATACATAACACTGTTTCGCCCTAGGCAGGGCTACCATGTGTGTTCACACATACAGTTTATTATTTGGATAGTTTGACTTCTCATCCTACATCTTTAGGATGCCAGATAACTAGTGTAGGTCATAATTATCATATTCATACAATAATTTAGCATCAATCATTTCCCAAATCCCTAAACATGGCATTATTTTGTATTGATTTGAATGCACAATAGTTTGGCCTGAAATACAATAATTGTTGTCCGACCACATTGGAAATCAAATCACACAAAGGAAATATAACATTAGAAGGGCGTGTTGGTTTCATTTGTAGTTAGAGCCTACATCAAAGTGAAATATAGTTTAAATGCCATTACAAGAACGGTTATGCAACTTTCACTTTTCAACCAAATGTGGTGGGTTTTAACGTAGAAGCTGAGCCTTTTTTTTCTATCTGCAAGTAGCTAAATTAACGATTATATAAGAGATAAGTTGTGGGAAGATTCATAGGATCTGATGATAGAGTTAATTAGTTTAATGTCAGCACAATATATTGATAGCGTCTTTTCCCGCAGGTTTTTTCTGAATGGCAGCGGAAAAGGAAATGCACGTAATTTTGTTGATAGGAGGAGAACACCAAACAGTTCCCTGTAAGTGCAGCATTGCAGATGTGGTTCGGTTTAGAGGCGAAGGACTGACTCAGATGAGGAGGTGCAGATGGGATGGTTCTCCTCCTGTAATTTGCTCTCTGGAAATAAGTAGAGCCATTTCCTCTGGATCGGGTAGGGGGGGTATTAAGGATAATGGGACACCCTGGGACCGACTGTCTCTTAAACTGGGCCAAACTGTGTGGCTCGTGACCTAATTATGAGTGTGTGCTGTCATTAACCTCAGAGTTCAAAATAAATTCAAAATGATGCTGATTCATATTCAGCTAGAACTGAGATACACGGCTTTCTCTTGGTCTTTTTTGTCCCTTTTCTAAATCTTCTCTACTTTTATTCATCATCTATTCATATTTTCCTTCTTTACCTCCTGGTGGTGGGAAGTTTTCTTTTTTGTGATCATGTACTGTCCTGTAGCAGTGGATAGTAGCAATGTTATGTTGCTATGTTGTGTGTGACCCCAGGAAGAATAGCTGAAACAGCCCAATCACACCAGCATTTAAAATGGCAAAATTCCAACGAGTATGAACTAAATCCTCACAATTTTCTTCTACTTTCGGTTCAACTTTGGTGAACATTGACATTAATGAAAAAACTGTTCGTCTTTGGAATGAAGAGCCAGAGAGTCCAAAAGACTATTGCATCTTAGCTGTATATAAACTGAGTATAAACTGCTCCATGTGGTTATTGTCCCTTTAGTGACTGTGATACTATTTGCTTGTTAGCTTTATTAAATAAATGTTGTGCACTCCTGAGAACAGTGGGGAGAAAATGGTCCACTACAGAGAAATAAGAAAGCAGAGAGCTATTGTGACTGACTAGGACACCAGCAACAGCAGTTCACAAACTACGCAAGTAATCTTGCAAGTGTGACTGGGGTTTTATTCTTGTGTGCCTCTTGTTCTTCCTCCACTTTAAAAAATGTGTTCTTTTTTCTCCTCCCTTCTCTTTACTTTCATTTTCTTTTCTTCATCTTCTCCTGAAACACGATACAAGATTTTCTTATTTATTTCCATACGCTGTGATACCATATCATACCATTAATTCTTTACATGTTTATTGAGTGTTCAACAAAAAAACAACCTGCACTTGCTCATTTGTTCCAGGTCTCTGAAAAGTTCCCCGACGTGAAGAAGAAGGGAAAGGTTCCTCATGCTCAGGATTTAGTAAAGGAGACGAGTTTTCCGACCAACACCTCCAACATGTGGAACCGGCCTCGCTGTGGTGTACCGGACTACACCGTCCAGAAGAAGGTGCATTATCGGGGAAGACACCGCCAGAGACGCTTCGTCCTGTACGGAGGACGTTTGGAGAAGACAGACCTCACCTACAGGTATAGATCTGCAGAGAGCATACCCAGTACGCACGTCTTTATGCGATTTGAAATAAAGTTTTTTATATCTTTGTAATATTTCCTCCAGCTTGCTTTTTTAAGAATTTCTGCCTGTAATTCAATTTAAAAGACTTAATTCGTCCTGTAGCAGGCATTTTGAGGTAACAACCAAACGCATAAAAATACAAAATCCAGTCAGCACGGATGAGAAGTCCTAAAAGTGTCATTGTCCATGACAACGAGTGAACTTAATTGACCATAAAACTGTGTGATTTGGTTGAAATGCTCCAACAAACGAGTAAGTGAGCGTGGCCTGCAACTGTACTGTTCTGGTTCACTCTCACTGCTCTCAGTGCAGCAGGCAGCTCAAAAAACTAACTGTACACCGCCTGCTCAGCACCAGCCATCAGACAGACACAGGTAGAGACTGTGTGAACGCAGGGGAGCATTTAGAAGAGCCAGATACTTTCCTCAAGAGTTGGAAGAGACCAAAAACAATGCTAAAAGAATACTGGACTGGGACTACTTTGTCAGGTAGACGCAAACACAAAACCACACACAACAAACCACACAATGGTGACACTAGTTCAGGGGGATCTGTGAGATTTTAAACACACTGAATGAGGAACTGAAGGAAAAATACCTATTATAGTACCTACAAAATTAAGTCTTGAAATTATATTCTGAAAAACGGGTGCTGGCTTTCTTTCATCTAAGGTCTTGGCACCATCAAGTGTCTGGCAGTCCTCTGCTGGCTGCTGCCTCTTTGTCTGTGTCTCCTGGGGTCCCTTTCATTGTAGTCATTCTTTAACACAACACTACATTAAGACATAGAGAAAGAAGGGGAGGCAGAGTTATTTTAATAGCAGCACCGGCCACAGACTAATAAGATTCTGCTGGATTGGACCAATAAAGGGCTCACAGTGACACCTGACAAAGTGATGTGGTTAACCAGGACCATAGCAACAACCCGCAAAGTCAAACTATACTTCTGCATGACCTAACAGGGCCACCATCCCTACTTAATGATGAGTGTAGAAAGAGTGGAGCCAAGCTAATGAGCCCCTGTGTTTACTTTTTATTTAGAATCAGCCAGCATTTTGAGCTTGTGAAGCAAGTTCTGGCACGACACGTGAAGTCATGCTGGGTCAGCTGGGAGCAGAGTTGTTTTAACTGCTTTAACGGTTGTTAACGAAACTGAAAAGAAGCTCTCAGGTGGCTGCAGAACGTTAATGGGTTGAGCTTGTTATGGTGCAGTCGCAGGAGGTGAGGCCAGCTGAAAAAAACATTTTATCAATTTTTTATTTGCATTTAAGACTTCATTCTTCATATTTTAATATATAATATATAAATGCACTTTGTTGAACTTGCATATGTACGATTACATTTGTAGATAGATGTGATGTGTGAGGTGTTTTTAAAGGGTTTTCAGCAGGAACCAATGGGCTTGGAGCTAGGGAAGTCAGAAAGTATCGAGACACAAATATAGAATAACGCCCGCGTTATCCTTTGATAAAACCTAGGTGTAATTACATATTTCAAGCTCAGCAATGTGGGTTTGATGAGTCACTATGAGAAAAATATTTCCTTATCTGAATCAAGGATTCAAGGACGGAGAGTGTCGTATGCTGTACAGATTGTAAAGCCCCATAAGGCAAATTTGATATTGCTCTATATCAATAAAACTGACTTGACTTAATCTATAGGGCATTTGTGCAAACTTGATAAGGATTTCAACCTACTGTACATGAACTTTGCACTAAGGAAAGTCTCTTTGTGCAAACCACAATCTGCACAAGTATTTGGACCTTTGCAGTAGACTTATTGTGCAATGTGTTTGCCCAAGCAAACTTTAAATGTATGATCAAATAGAAATGATTTTCTGCCAGTTCTTTAATGTGTGGCTACGGCGGTCTGCACACCTGGGTTTAAATGAACATTGTTCAGAAAATATAACGATGTAGCTCTACCTGTTGTCCTGCAGTATATACTTAATGTAAACAAAAGAGACAGTGGTTGAGATGAATGCCAGCGGTATTTTTATTGCTTGTGTTTCTCTAAATCAAGACCACATTTCCCATAAACCCTGCTGCTTCCTGTACCTCTTGACCCTTGTTGCATGAAGAAAGACACAAGCTGAAATACAGCCAGTATGAATTCTTGCAGGTAAACTTACATGCTCGGGGCTGACAGTCCTTCCTGTTTTCAGCCATAAAATGATGCAGCCAATTTTTCTGGAAATCCAAACCAGTAAATACAGAGAACACTAGAGGCTAACAGCCTTCTTAGAGATGGTTTTATTTGTCTGCAGTAGCTGTAATTGTATATCTACCAAATCTACTTAATTGATGCTGATAATGACTACTTTAATTTTGTTCCTTTACACCAGTAAACCCTGTATATGCAGACCCCAGGAAGCTGATTGAACAGTTAGAGAATAAAGGAATAGTTTGACATTTTGGTAAATGCTCTTAATTTGCTTTGAAAATCGACATCAATCTCATGTCTGTGTGTTGAGTATACAGAGCTGAAGTCAGGTTGTTCAGCCTAGCTTAGCATAGAGACTGGAAACATGGGAAACAGCCTCGCTCAGTCTATAAAATCAACTTGAAATCTCACTAATTAACATGTCATATCTTGCTTGTTTAATCTGCACCCAAGAAGAAATGTAAAAACCACATTTTGTAGTTTTAGGGGCAGTAACTTGTTACATCTATTGCTTTTTGAGCTGTCAGGTTTCCAGGTTTGGTAGTATTGTGCCAAAAGCAAAACCTGTGCAGTGGCTATTGGCACATTGCACAGAATACAGGATAGACACGTCCTGACAGCTCGTACCAACACACATGAAAGTGATTTCAAACTTCTTATCTCACTCACAGAATGCATATGAGCATATTCCTTTAACTCTTCACGGCTCACACCGGTGTAACAGTCTACATAGGTGTTAAAGGATGATTGTGTATTAGCAGCATCTAGCAGTGAAGTTGCAGATTACAATCAAATGAATAACTGCTCACCTACCAAGTGTGTAGGAGAAACTACGGTGGTCCTATCTAGAGCCACTGTTTAGTTTGTCTGTTCTGGGCTACTGTAGAAACATGACAGTCCAACGTGTCAAACTTTGCCGAAGAAGACCCGCTTCATTTGCCGTTTTACAGTTGGTTATGTGCCCAACTGATTACAGTATGTTGATCACTCAAGTTGGTTGTTGATTTATTCCAAACTGAAATATAAGGATTTACTCTCATTTTAATGCAGCAGCAACTGTCTGATTTGAGTAAAAAAGTGGAAAATTTATCTGATACTCTTTATCACTTATGAAGTGTTCTGTGTCCGGTTGGAAAGATAAGGAGGATTCTCTTCTTTTTCCCACTTATCATACTGGGTGGTTTTATCAAAAAGGAAAGGGAGGAGACCATAATGCAGTGTTTTGTAAGCGAGCCTGAGGGCGTCAGTAACAACACACCTCCCCGCCGATGAGACGGCTGTAGATATCAGATTAGAGGGAGGCATGCAAGGCCGGTGGTCCCTCTCTGCTACTATACATCCTGTATGTGTGTGTTTGACACCTGCATTGGTCTCCTGCAGGATCGTCAGGTTTCCCAGGCAGATGGGGGAAGAAAAGGTTCGACGTGTCTTTCGGGAAGCGCTGAAAATCTGGAGTGATGTCACCCCGCTCACCTTCACCGAGATCCACAGTGGAAGGGCCGACATCCACATCGAGTTCACAAGGTGGGAGGACTGGGACATGGGGGGGAAAAAAACATCTTTAAAACATGATTAAAAAGAAAAAGCACACTGAACACATGCAGATATTACTGCAAAAGGAATTCATGTATGTTGTGGCAAAAGAATACCAATACATCTACATCTACATGCTGGCATTATCACTGTGAGCATGTTAGTTTGTTAAGATAGGAGCATTTAGCTAAAACCGCTGATGTGTTCAAGGACTCATTGTTGTAAAATTTAAAACAAGATTCAGGAGGAACACACACCTGCAGAGTATGAAGTTTCAGAACACTGGAGCCCATTGTTTTCTGTTGAAGCCCACAGCTTGGTGGTATCCTGATGTACACAAATACAGGAAAGCAGCAGATTTATCACATTTGCTCCTCAGATCTGCGACTGTACTCGGTCTTCTTCCGGCGTGTGTTGCAACTAGTCAACAGCCATGCTAGTGGCTCCGCATACTACTCTTTCTCCTACCCTTCAGCTACTTTGAGCTAAATGCTAACATGTTGGTGTTAAGCAGGTATAATGTTAAGCAGAACCAATGGTACATGGTTCACTCTTGATAAAAATGACAAGATAGAGAGATCAATGTGATGTCTTCAACAGAACTTAAAGATATTTACAAATTTGCATTTTTGCTTGAAAAATGACTAAAACGATACATTAAAGTAGTGACAGGGTCAAACAGGTTCATGAGTTTAGGCCGACAGAATCAGACCAGTTTTTAAGTAAAATTTTATTTTATTACAAAGAGCTTCAAAGAGCCACAACGACGGAAACAAGAGATAGTAGAGAAAGAAAGGAGGAGCAGATTATTATCTAGATATAAAACTAGAGTTTTATGTGGAATCTGTGTCATCTTTGAAATGACGCATTCTCTTTTATGTTGCTTTGTTTGTTATTCTGGCAGCAATTTCTTGTTTTTCCCCTTCTGAATCATGGGTTAGATTCAGACTTTATTGTCTGTGATGCCACAGCAGTCTTTGCTTGCACTGCTGCACAAACCTGGGAAAATTGTTTCAATTTGACAAAAATAGGGATTCACGTATCTCATAACAGTAATTTTACACTGACTAACAGCTAACAGCACATGCAGATGTCATTATCACATAATAATAATTCCAAATTGATTCTGTATTGTTAATTGGAAATATTGTAAGTACATGGGAAATGATTAATAATTAATTACGTTTTTGTTGTTTAACTGTACAATTTATTCATGTATTCAGTTATACTTTTGACTCTTACGACCTTTTCACTGCAGTTTGTCGATTTGACAGCTTTTCATTGAACGGGTGCCAACTTGGGTTCTGGTACGTTGTGATGGGTTAGTTCTCAACTGGCAGACTATTTGATACTTGTTGACATTGTTTTAAAGCTGTTTAGAAAAGTTGGATTTATAAAGTGCATCTTGCTTCAAGCCTTCACAGTGGCTTTCATTTGATTTACGGACCTGTAGGTACTGGCATGATGACAACCTTCCCTTCGACGGCCCGGGTGGGATTCTGGCTCACGCCTTCTTCCCCAAAACACACCGACAGGGCGACATTCACTTTGACGACGATGAGTCATGGACCCTCGGAAACCACATGGGTGAGTGTTTGGCTGAGAAGGAAGACAAAGAAAACAATTTTTAGTGAACAGTTTGTTTGATTTTTAGTTCAAATACCATTTCAATCTTTCTTACTTTATTTTTGCTTTTAGTAGAACAAAAAACTAGAATGTTGCCCCAGTTTTAGCATCCCTCATTGGCTTCCAAATGATTTCAGAATACAGTTCAAAATTCTATTAATCACTTAGGGTAGGGGTAAATGGATTAAAAGGTCCATATCACTATTTTCTTTTAAACATCAACAAAAAAAAAACACACCTTTTAAACAATTCTTATTATTTATTAATATTATTGTTACACACACATGCAAAAAAACACTCCAAAGTAAGCCTCAGATAGGCCTGAAATTCAAAGTCCCCCTCCACTCAAAAATGTTTTTCCTTAAGCCCATTTACATAGTAAAAATAATAATAATAATGCATAATAATACAGAATAAAATACAATATTAGTAAAGGCTTGTGAAAACAGTGCAGATGTGGCCATGGTTAGCCACATTCATAAGGGCCAGAAAGGACTATCATTCTAGGAAGCCTCATAATTCTTCCTTATTCTACTGTATCCATATTCACATGCAGTAACCATTTTGCCATTTTTAAAAATGGACCAACACACAGTCTCAATAACTGTTGCAGACTGCTTGCTAAAAATCTAATTTTAGAAGATGTTTGTCATGAGCTTTAAGTTTGGTTGGTATATTACTTAAATTGTATTGAACCATATATTGTTTCTTGGATGCAAAAATGATCTCACTGCTTGAGTTCACCATCAGCTCAGGTATGAAAAGTCAAATACATCCAATACAATCTGTAACACCGGGCTTTATCAGGGCAACACAGGGGCTGAGAGCAGACGTGAGTCAGCAGTGAGAGGAAGCAGTGAGGTACTTTTTTATGACTCTTTGTTGACACTGTGTCATCTCGGGTAGCAAAATCCCCACCGTCTGCCACTGCAAGCTGGTCAAAACAAACGCCCAAAACTATTTTCAGACACCATTTGACCCAAGTGTGGTTTTGCATCCTCTTAAGGCTTGTATACAACCCCTGCAGGCACAGACCTTCTCCAGGTTGCTGTCCATGAGTTCGGGCACGTTCTGGGCCTGCAGCACTCCCGTGAGGCAGGAGCCATCATGTCCGCATACTACTCCTTCTCCTACCCGCTGAAGCTGAGTGAGGATGACAAGCAAGGCATCCAGTACCTGTACGGAGCTCACCCACCAGTCCTGCCCTCACCGCCACCCCCACCCCCGCCTCCAGTTCCATCTAACCCAGAGACCAATGAGATCGTCACTAATGTGAGTGGAGCCGATAAAACATTCAAAGAAGCAATCATGTGGCGACTGTACAGGTTGAAAAGATTTTGACAGTTTGAATAAAATATGGCAAACAAGCTCAAAATAATTGGCTCAAAACATTCTTAATAAATGTTGCCTTACAAATCCTAAAAATGTACCAAAGTGTATCTGCAGGGTGTCGTGATGCATATATGCTTTGGTCCAGACTGAAATCTCATTCAATCATTGATGGTTCCCATAGGATGAAACACAGATAATCTCTAAGCAAGCGTTTTATCTATTGTCTTTTTATTTTTAGAGTGAAATGTCTTAGCCTTTTTTTTAAAATGGCCCAGTAATTTCCCCAAGCAGCTGGTTGCTGTAGTTTTCAACAAACGTTACTCAGAGAGGAGGAAATGTTGTTTGGGACTATTTTCAGCGGTGGATTTATCCACGTTTGGTCCTCTAGTGAGTATTTGGGATTATTAATAGTGTATGTGTGATTGAGTAAAAATAAAGTACAGTGTGTGTTCATGGTAATGAAGGAACATGTCACCCAGTGCAACAGTGTGGCTCACTGATGTGTTTGTAACAGTTTTTGGACAACAATGGAGCTCTAAGGCACAGAGGACTGAGACATCCACAGGGAATCAATTCAGTTTTATGGGATTTGTTGAAAAGAAGAAAACTATAGAATACTACCAGCCTATCCTTTAAGAGGCAGCAGTGGTTTCTGTGGTTATAACACAATTAAAAAGAGTGGATATCTTTGAAACTACACCACATCATACAAGAGTGTATTTCTGACCTAATCCATAGATGATAAACGAGGGTTAAAGACAGAACTCATCTTGTAGTCCCATAAGAGTTTCTCTCAGGCGAGCAAAGGGAAAAGGTTCCATTTAAGATTATTTTCTCGTGTAAACTTGTAACTGAGAGGTTTTTCACTGGAGCACGAAAACCTTCTCCTTTATTTTGGGATCCTTTCAGACAATAAAACGGCTTCTTAACACTTCATCCCACTGCAATAAAAATGGCTCTTTAGTGAGAAACTTAATGTTTATTACAGCGTGTGGAAATGAACAAGTGATCCGTCTTATTTCCAGCCCGACGCCTGCCAGACGGACTTTGAAGCTGTGTCTATGATCCGAGGGGAGCTGTTCTTCTTTAAGTCGGGCTATGTTTGGCGAATCAGGGACGGGCATCTGGAGAGCGGTTACCCAGCGCTGGCGTCCCGTCACTGGAGGGGGATTCCCGACAGCATCGATGCCGCCTTTGAAGACAAGTCAGGGAATATTTGGTTCTTTCAAGGTGGGCATCGATGTTTAAGCTGCTGTTATGTGGTTTATGGTTTCATGTGACTGCAGGATAATCAAGAATCACGCACTTTTAGGCAAGTTTAAACAGGTGTAAAACGTTAATTAACACACAGCTGTGAAATCACTGAAATCTTTCTGTGACTGTTTCCATTAGATGTGGTTACGGTAGGTATGTGCAATAGTGTGTGTTTCAACCAAGTGCTGAGACAATCAGTTTACTATTTCTTTTACCGCACATTGTCTTGATGTGGTGAACCTTAAGCATTATGATTTAAACTCTAGCTAATGCTCTTATCTCACTCAAAAATACCTCAGCAGGAAACACAGATGCTGTAGGGCTTAAACCTCTGACTTTTGGTTGGATGTTGTCTCCAATGAGCTACACTGCAGCCCCAACCGATCATTTAGAAATAGACAAAAGAGAAAAAGAAAGGGGATGGAAATTAAATGGTAACAATAAGGAAATTGTTTATTTTTTATTTGGTGACCAAACACCCCCTAGCAGCCATGTTGGATGTCTTTCAGTCTTGGGTGGTTGCAAACAGCTCTGTTTGTTTGGCGGACATCAAAACATAACTAAACAGACAATCATACTTTATGTACTGTCCCGACAGGGAACAGATAAACACTGACACATCTGACTGAGTTTGTATGTTACAGTTTATCAGTTGTTTCTTACTGTTAAAATCCATAAAATGTCACTTATTCAGGAGTCGTCAGTTTACTCAGTGATAATTTCCTTAAGGAAAACAGATGGGAATCACTCATTTATGTGACACAACAAGCATTTACAGCTAACTCACTCAGTTATATAATGATATATCTAAGCAGTGAGAGTCTCAGCTGTATAAAATACTGTAACTAATATAGACATGTCAAAGATTTAAGTCAGTGTGTAAAATAGGATCAGTTGCACTATGAAGCGTAAAACCTACCAACAAGAGTTGAATGGCGTCCATTGTTCACCATCTCTGTGAGCAGGTGAGAACTACTGGGTGTTCGATGCTGAGAGGAAGATCAGAGGGCCGGAGTCCATCAGGAGTTTGGGTCTGTCAGAGTCCGGGTTCCAGGCGGCTCTGCGCTGGGGCCACGACTCCAACTACAACACTTACTTCTTCAAGTCAGGCAGCTACTGGAGGTTCAGCCCCCGCGAGAACCGCGTTGAGTCCGCCTACCCGCGCAGCATGCAGGACTGGAGCGGCATCCCAGACGATGTAGACGCTGCTTTCAGGGACATCTACGGTATGACCCAAAAACTAAAAGTTAACAAGTGAACAAAGTGTTCCTATTTGGTTTTTAAAAGTTAGTATGTTAGTTACATTTTGATACTCCAAGACTGATATGCTCATGGATAGGAATTTGCAGGTTCTTAAATAATAACTTGTACCAGTGTACCAGTACTGTACTAAGGTCAGTGGTGGAAGAAGTATACCGATCTTGTTCTAAAGTAAAAGTAGCAATTATCACAATAAAGATACTCAATTACAAGTAAAAGGTCTGAATTCACAATCCCACTTGAGTAAAAGTGATTATTAGTACTGATGCATTAATTTGTAAGTATCATTTTACTGTTGTAGCTGCTTCAGGTGGAGCTAGTTTGAACTACTTTATATACAGTTAGCTGTTTAGTCCAGTGGTTCCCAACCTGGGGGTCACAAGATAAATCCGTGGGGTCATGACATAATTAACGGGAGAGAAAAGAAGAAAAAAAAAACATCTGGCTCAACAATTTGTATTCATTTTTTGGACTTTTCTCTAATCTTTGCAGTTTTTTGTGCAGTATTGGTTAATTTATTTAATTGGAACATTTTTGGGCCTCAAGACTGGTCCCAGCTGTAAAAAGATTGGAAACCACTGGTTTAATCAAAACAATGAATTATATTTCAAAACATTATGATATGTTTAATGTAAAATCTTAAAGTAACTAGTAATTATAACTGTCAAATAAATGCAAGTAAAGTACAAGTATCTTAAAATAATGTGCTTACTTTCCACCACTGACTAAGGTTACCTTATTGACAATCAAGGGGGAAAGATAACTTGTTCACTGGCCTGGTCAACTATCTGCTACTGATCAAAAGAGATTCCTAAACTTGTTTTTTCACAATAAATCTGTTTTCTACCTTTTAGGCTATGCTCACTTTATCCGAGGACGACAGTACTGGAAATTCGATCCGGTTGGCATGAACTCTTTGGAGGGCTACCCTCGCTACATCGGCATGGATTTTTTCGGCTGTAGAAATGTGTGAGTCTTTAACCTGCGGAGAATCTGATTAGGTTTTTTTTTTTCTTTTTTTTTTGACAATGAAGAGGAGAGAAAACAGATAAGTTTATGTTCAAACGGATGAGACGGTCTCCTTTAATTCTGTTTATACTTTACTCCATTTATTGATGATTGATATTGATATTGATACACCTTCTTCTCAGGAAAAAACAAGGTTTGTTTCCTCAGACTTGGCACCTCCTGTGCAGCTATACTCATATTTATTTTGCACATTTGTCATCATACAGCTGAGATCTGGGCCCTGTATTAATGATGTGTGATACTGATGTGAACTGCATTGTTCTTACTTCCTGTTTTTGAGCCTGAAATCTAGATTTTTGACTGATTTTGGTTCCCAGACGGAACCAGTACAGACAGACTCCTTGTAGTGGATGTTTTCCATTTTTTAATGGATGGACTTGCTGATCCTCAAGTGTTCGAAGAGTGACATCAAACTTATAGCTGCGGAAGGTAGATTTGTTTGTTAGCTGCTGTCGATGGCGGTGAACCTTTAATACTGTAACTTTAAACCTAGAAATCATTCAACATGTCCGTAAACAACATTTTTAGCTACACTTTGTTCTTTTGAGAATGTGATCACACATGCAGTTGATTTTCCTGCTGACCTGACTCACACTGACCATGAATCATAACAAGTCACATTGTTTTCAGTTGGCTTATAGTCTTATAACCTGCATAAAGATTATTTGTGACACAGTTGTAACTTTGATAGAGCATTATGGACTTGTGTGTGTGTGTTTGTGCTCTTTATCAGCTGAATGTCTCCTGCTCAGCCTTTTAAAGAGGTTTTGGGGGTTTCGTGTCGGCAAATAAATCTCTCAGGCAGCACTCACTCCTGCGCTGTGTAGTGTCACCAGTAATCAAATTTCCATCCTTATGTAGCAAATTTTAAAAATCAGTAAAAGAAAATGCTAATTTTAAGGCACGATTCCATCCACTACTGTTGTGCGAATATTCAGATTTGGTTGCGTTGAGCTAAACAGATTCACCAATTCTCCAGTCAGGTGCCATTATAGCATTGCATAAGAAGAAGGAAGAATAGATAACCATGTGGAAAATATGATGGAAATATTGCATTTATGTTTATTTCATGTATTAATTTGAGCAACGTTACAGTCTCTCATCAACGCTCCACACAGATCTGATGTTTTCAGCTGTCACTATTTCTCATCTTCATGCTTCATGTACGTCATGATTTATTCACAAAGTCTCTTTCCATTGCACTTTTAGCTTTTATTGACATTTTTGCCTGAGAGACTCAATTCAGGACAAGAAAATCCCCGCTGTCCTTTCAAGTAGGTCGACATTCATCCAGTTTCTTCTAAGCTTGCCAATGTTTAAGAGAAAGTTTTGTATTTATTTTTCATATGTGGGCAAATTGAGCTAATATACACGTTTTCAGTGAGTAGGGATGCGATACTCTCTGTTGTTGTGATTTAGGCTAATTAAATTATATTTAAAATTATTAAATACTTCCTCATGTAGCCGTTAGATGTTATGTTACCTACGTTTCTTCCCTGACAAAACAAAAGAATGTCTGCATTTGAAGAAATTAGGAGTTCATATGGGAAGAAAATGTGATGATATAACACTGTATGTCATGATTTGATGTCACTCTTCCAACACAATGGTGTAAAGCTCTTAGTTGTTGGTTATCACTCATCAGTCTGTAGGCCTCTGTGGCAGTAAAAAGCTCCAGGGCGCCATCTAGAGTGCAACACTGTCACCCTGCAAGAGAAGAGTGATATTTCCTCAGAGAATGTCCACATATATTTTGATGAAGTCATTGCTTTTCTACATTGTAACATGGTGATCTATTCAGGTTGGTCAGTGTGACACATTCAGGGACAGCAGCTGCTACGTGGATCAGCGGTTCTCAACCTGGTTAGTTAGTTACTCCCAGAAACAAACTGATGACTTCACCCTATTTTTGCTTCTCAGGCTGTTTTGCTAAATTAGTAGACAAAGCAAGTGTTTCATAAGAATATATCACATATCTTATTAGCTGGATGGCAGTGGTGGAAAGTACATTTACTCAAGTACAATTTTGAAGTACTTGTACTTGAGTATTTACATTTTCTACTCCACTACATTTCAGAGACAAATATTTTTCTTTTATGTGAGTTTTACATTAAAAACATAAAATACAACACACTGTCCAAAATCCATGTATCCAGAACTACATACTGAATATATACAGTATATGCTACATACTAATCATCATAGTATAATGTTACTATGTTACTGTACAAAAAAACAACATACTTTACTGGACATTATACAATACGTGCAAGGTCAGAAGCCATCTTGAAACATCCAAATCATGAATGTTTTTTCTAATATTTGATGTCATTTTTTTTTGCTTTCTGGAGCTGTTTCACCACCAACCACAATGTTCTTTAATGTTATCCAGCTGTGAGGTGCTCATCCATTTCCTCTGTGAATTGCATTGCATTGAGAATAGTTTAGATCAACAGCACACTAAGACTTGACCATATCTAATATGCATCCTGTCTGGTCTGAGTATACTTGTGTCACTTTTCCAGTGTGAACACTCTACAGACCTGCTTAGCAGTAGTATGTATGGGTCTGGGACACAGTGTGAACTAGCCTGTTCCAATGTTTTTGGCTTGTGACTGCTTACAAAAATTAATGTGTGTCCCCCTGTCGTGTGTCAGATGTCTATGACTCGTTCCACCAAACAGACGTTTCACCTCTCAAGTGTTTGAGGCAGAAGGAGGCCAATTTATCTAACATTTCACAAAAAAGGTCTCATGTCCCCTTAGATTTATCCTATGACCTTTGGGACTGGCCGACCCATAAACTAGCAAACTGTATATAAAGTAGTTGAAACTAGCTCAACCTCAAGCAGCTACAACAGTAAAATGCTGCTTACACATTAATGCATCAGTATTAACAATTTAATATTTGTCATATATGATAATATATCTGTCACAGGGGACATTTTCCTCATAATACTTCTGTACTTTTACTTTAGGACTTTAGCTTGTAATGGAGTATTTTTACATTGTTGTACTGGTACCTTTACTTAAGTAAAGTATCTGACTACTTCTTTAACCACTGCTGGTTAGTGACAGGATCTCATGGACCCGAAAATAACTCATGTCAGGACCTTTTTGTGGGTCAGGATGCCCAGGTTGAGACCCACTGATCCAGCTAATGTGACATTTTATCTGCCGTGTCCCTGGTTGCAGCACTTGAAATGTGAAGGCTCAGTGCAAACTGTCATGTTCATCAGATGTTAGTTGTTCAGTGCAGGACACTGACGAGTCATTACAGTTTTCATCATTCAGACTTTGTTGTTTCTTTACAGTCTGTTGTTGTTTGAATCATTTCGCAACTCATTTCAAGTGTTAATCAGTGAATTCTGACTGCTTTGAAACTATTTATACACAAACAACTTAGCAAACGTTGTTGTACATATCTGTCTTTGATTATTATTTTTTTTACTCATATGTAGCCTGTACCCTGTACATTGAAATGTATGATCTGTGTATTGTTTCATTTCTAATAAAACCATAACCTTTTTACCAAACTCTCCTGCCTCTGGATTGATTCAAGTTAATTCACCACACAAACATAATGCAAGAAAAATGTCCAACTAGACATTTCATACTTATATTCATATTTAATCAAAAACATGTTTCTTTCGGGTTCTGAATAATTAAAATTAATAATAAATGTCAGTTGTCTTTCAATTGAAAACATGACATTTATTGCATATTAGACTGAAATTCTCAGTCACAATATTAGACAGCTTATTTTGTAATTTCTATTTTATTAATAAAAAAAATTCATTTCTGCATCTGTATGGAAACGGATTACTCTAATGTGTTAAAGGTCTACAGTGTATGTGGGATGGATGGTGTTAATTGGTGAGTAAATCTGATTGGCTGGTGCAGTTGGTGGGCGGGGCCTGTGCTGTTCATTCAGTGAGTAAATCATGGTTGACAGGGAGGCAGCAGCAGCAGCTATGGCTCACAGCTTCACTCAGGAGTATTTTCAGATCCCCGTGGTGACCCGAGCATACACGACCGCCTGCGTCCTCACCACCGCTGCAGTGGTAAGACTACAACAACTACAACAACTCAGTAACAATGAAGAGAACAACAGAGTTTAACTCTAACCTCCAAGCTCTGATCAGACAGGAAACAATTATTTAAGTAAAAAAACATTGATTTCTAGCTTTAAATACATGACACTAAACTGGTTCAAAGTGTTAACTCTGAGATGTATTAGATTTGAACTGTCCGTTAAAGTACCAAAAGGGTTTGAAGTATCAGTTTGAGTGCGCATTAAAAGTATCTGAAGTGCCAGTATAAGTGTAAAGTAGATGATATTTTAGTTGAAGGATTAATTATTGAGCAGAAGTTTCATCTAAAGTGAAATTACTGAAAACAGTTGAGCTGTTAGTTAAAAGGTCCAGTGTGTAACATTTAGGAGGATCTATTGGCAGAAATGGAATATAATGTAATCACCTGAAAATAATAATCATTAAGTTTTTGTGTTACCTTAGAATGAGCTGTTTATATCTACGGATGCTGCGGTACACCTTCCATGGAGTCTGCCATGTTGAAAAGCCATGTTTATATAGTAGCCAAGAAGGGACAAGCCAAAGACTGGCACCAGATAGGGGCGTTTGCATTTTTCAGCCACTGTACTCTGAGGAATAAAAATGAAAGCACATAGTTTCTGCTTTGCGCTTGGAAGGGGAGGGTGAAGCGAGGGAGTTGTGATCTGCACCACTAGATGTCACTAAAGCACACTCACGGGCCTACTTAAGTGTAAACACTGAGTGCAGTTGATGAAGGTAGTTGAACTGTCAGTGGAAGAGTTAAAATCAGTTGAGTTGAGTTAAAATGTTGTTTGACATATAACAAGTGAAAGCAGCTGTGTCAAGTTAAATGTAAGCAGCTTCATTTTGGTTAAAGTGTAAACTTTAAAAGTAGCTCAACTGTTACATAAGTGATGAAAAGCAGAAGTTAAAGGGAAAGTTCTTGAAACAGTTGAGCTGTTGTTTGTTAAAGTTGAATCTTAAGTGTTGTCTCTGAGTCCAGAACTCATTTAAAGTGTATGGGATGAAAGCAGTTGAACTGTCAGCTCAAGTAAAGCACTACAGATAGCTGTGGTGTCTGCACCTGCATTGACACCAGTTGAAGTGAGAGGTAAAAGGTGAACTCTAAGATAAAAGTGAAAGCAGTTGAAATGTCAGTAGATATGTAATGGGTGAAAACACTGGAAGTGGCGGTTAAAGTGTACACGAAGAAAGTAGTTGGACTGTCAATAAATATTATTGTTTATATTCTGCTTATAAAGGGAGGTTAAAGTTGTTTCACGAATGCAACAAATATATAATAATATAAAAAATATCCAAAAAATAATTACTTTCCAAGCATCTTTATGCCTAACATGCTGTTTATCTCAAGCTGTGTGTTTGTTTTGTTTTTTAGCAACTTGAGGTCATCACCCCGTTTCAGCTCTACTTTAACCCAGAACTCATCATCAGAAGATACCAGGTAACATCCATCAACTATTACATATAAAGCATAAGTATATGGTACGTTATTACATTTATACTCTCTTTTTTTCTGTCTTTCTCTCAGATATGGCGCCTGATAACCAGCTTCCTCTTCTTTGGTTCTCTTGGATTCAGTTTTGTGTTCAACATCATCTTTCTGTATCTTTTATCAGTGTTTCCTCAGGCCAGAACAGAATAATATTTCAGTTTATCCATAATAATAAACTTAACTAAATGAAGTTATCGATACTGTCGGATGCTGGAGGAAGGCTCTTTCCGTGGAAGGACGGCAGATTTTGTTTTCATGTTCCTGTTTGGAGGAATCGTGATGACTGTATCCTTTTAAC